AGCAACTTGCGAAAGTGTAATGGTGGTTGCATCGAGAATTTGGTCAGGCTCATTATTCGTCGTGAATCACCCTGTATTGTGGGTTTTGTGAGGAATATAAAAAAAGACTGAATATGAAATGTTTAGACACAAGCAAGTGCTTAACCGTTGTTAAAGCACCATTTACATAATTAAAAATAACTCTTGAGTCTCTTTGATTTTGGAAGAGCCGGAAACTAAGGTCTTCATTAAGGTGTCAACATGGAAATATCGGTGGCATTATCCTCCAATCCCAATCCGGAAGCGGCGAGCACGTGAAACAGAAGAGAATCCGCGGCAGGAATTCTAATGACTGAAAAAGAGAAAAACCTGAAAAGACAACGTCTTTTTTCTTCACTCTTCACCCGAGTGATCTTTTATTTTGAGGTGACACCTGAATTTGTGTTTCGTTATAATTATTTAGGGACTCATAGACATCCGGTGCGTGATAGCATCGCTTCCGTTGAGGACATGCTTTTGATATTGAAGATTTTTTATGGGGATTACAAGAGTGACGTTACTAAACCGAAACGGTTAAATGAGATGACACGAGTATGACTATATTATTCACCAGTTGTATAACTATTTTGGTAGTTAGAAAAACAATCGGCAAAAATGTGACTTTCGTAACCTTGTAGACTGTGAAATCAATTGGATAAAATGCGAAATCACCTTCCAGTCATTAAGTGTTAAATATCTAGCATTGGTACTTTTTGTCGAGCTCCGATATGGAAGTAATTAAATTTGTAATAATAATAAATTGATTAGATTGGACAGATATTCTAACGCCAATAAATAATTAATCTATCTATTTTTAAATATGCAAGGAGAGTGTGGTGAGGAAACTGGAAATTACAAAAATAAAGCTGGGCCAATGTCAGGTTCCAATTTCTTGTGGTTGTACGTACAGTAGACGAACCGAAAATTATTATTAGCTTTTCATGTTAATGCTTAGATGTTTACATTTAATGACCAATTAAATATAAATATAATCAAATACTTTCTGTTTTGTAACATGTTTTTGCTATTTTGTACATAACTTCTTATTACCGTTTTATAAAATATAAAAATTGTGAAAAATCGAATTTCTGATAGCTATATTTAGAAATTAAATTTTAAACTATAGAAAGAGTGTATTTCTCTCATTACTACGTTCATTCATCGCACCAAATCCCCTCAACACCTCCGCTTGAATGAAGTTACATCATTAAAATGCTACAATGGAAGAATCGTTCTTTAAGATAAATTAAGCGTTTTGTGGCCGGTCGCCGTCTCCATTTGCTCCCAGTTTTGTCCGAAGAAGTCAACCCGTGTTCTCTTAGTCCAGATCCCGCCTTCACCCTTCGGCCCAGCCCGACCCCGCCACACCCTTCTTGTGCTCATGTGATTCATCCCTTCGTCGAAAACCGACAAGGGCTCCTGGTCTTGAACGACGAAATAAGCGCACCTTTTCCATCGCCGACTCTTTCCCCTCCCGCACCAGAAAGGCCGATGACTGTTGTTACATGAAGAATGCATCTGTCTTGTGTTTATCTCTGTCAACAGTAGCTCTTTCTTCGTGTCTGGGTACGCGATTATCGACTGGTTAATTGAACAGTGTTTTACCCAGATTTAACTGAGACAAAGTTTAGAAATGTAAGAGAAAGAAGGGAATTGCCCACGGATACGCCTCATAGTGCCCACGAGTTTATGCACGGCCTGTAGCTCGCTTTATGAATAAATCGTTGTGTTTTTGTATTCAGATGATGGCGCAACGAACAGCAACAGACAACTTATTGCTTTACCAGGAGTCAACAGTCACCGCTTGGCATATGGGACGTAATTTGTTTTATAATCACTTTATAAATTCCATTACGGGAGTAATTCTAGATTATGAGAGGTGCAAAAATACCTTTAGGGATCAGTGGAACAATGGATGCTTGGCTTATTGTTATCAAAACAAACAACTTAATTCAACTGCAATTACCAACTGTTAAATTGTGTTAATCACAATAATACAAAGTGTCATAATAATATAAATCAAATTACTTTCTTATTTGTGCTTTTATAACACATGCAACGACTTTATAATGGTTCATTATACATACACGTTTTGGTGAAGAGGTGGAAAGAAAGGTTTTTTGTTTTTAATAAAATAATAATATTATAAACTGAAATGTTTTCTGTTAATCAGAAAACAATATTTTATGCAAATGACTAAACTATGTACAGTCGAACAAAATGAAAATGAGGCCTCAATAAAGCAGCCCCTGCTGGATGCCGACCCTTCTAACTGTAAACAGACAGGATCGTAAATTATGGGATTGCAAACTTGACGTAGTTTCAAGATAAATTCCTCTAGGAGCCAGTTTACAGAAAGCGAAATGAAAATTTAATTCAGAATTAAACTAATTCGAATTAAGTTGCCATTTATTTTGCAGTGACAAACGTCAAATTCTTTTTTTTTTTTGAAGAAAATTATGCATTAATAATGGCATTAACGAAAAACAATCATTATTAGCTTAATAATTGTTTTTAAACGTTTTTTCAAAATAAAATTAATTAACATAATTTTTGAACGAAATAGGCTTTCTCTATTTTAAACTTGATTTTATGTAAAGCAACAAATGAATTAAACCATCACTGTTTATTTGCGAAGGTTTAAACTCCACGTGTGCCTTTACCGCCATTTATTTTGCATTGACAAACGTCAAGTTAATCGCGAATTAAAATTTAATTTGATTTGATTTTAATTTAATTTAATTTACGTTTTGTAAACCAGCCCTAAGTTATATTAGTTATTAGTTATATTAGTTTTGTAATTGCCATTGAAAATAAAGCAAAATTATTTATTTAATGTAACCAAGAAAAAAACGGCAAAATTATTTCAAATATTTTAGTTCTGCTCCAAAATTATTTTTTTTAATAATTGTAATACTTTTAAATTAAATAAAAATGTTTAGTTTTA